GGGGGGGGGGGGGGGAAGGGGGAATATGGCTAATTTGCAGGGGGAAATATGGAGATCTAGTTCTCAAGGATAATTTTAATTCTAAGTTTGTCATCATCAAAAAAGGGGAAATTGATAAGTTATGTGCCTTTTTGTTTTGATGATTTAATAATCTTCATATGAGAATCGGATAGAGAACCTGATACAAAACCTCTTTGTGCTCAAAACAATAAGTCACATGTGTCTGGAACAAGTTCCAATAAAATCAGCTAAGGGAATGACAGATGGAACAAATGGTTATCAGTGCCTCCGATCACAGTACAAGTCAACTCTTTACATCTGTTAAAGTTGCTGCACTGCAGACGAAACAGTGCAGCACTCACTGTTGAAGCATGCTCTGGACCGGACAGTTGCTTGCATCATCCTAGTGACCTCACTTATATGTTACCAACATGAGACAATGGATTAAATACACTTGCAAACCCTAAAACACAATTTACTCTTAAGTGTATAGCCGCCTTTATTTACTCCAAGGCATCGAAGAACAAAGTAGCAACAGAATGAAAGACCAGATCCCAGCATTGACTCCTTAATATTGTTGTATCTTTATTAATATTTGTGGCTCAATATATGTAGCTAAAAATCTCCTAGCACGATCTCCATTGTTTAGATTGGAGAACAAGATGTTACCGGGGCCAGCCGAAGGATATATAAGGCTTAAAGCCATTGCTTTAGGCCCCAATCTTGAAATGCTCCTTTTTTTTCTCCTATTATTTATTATTATATATTTTTATAAAGTTATCAGTAATAAAATGATTCCAAATTTTATGCTTCTATTGTTGGAATGTAATTTACTTCATCAGTTGAATGAACTTGAATTTATAAACATAGACTAAGAAGAGAGAAGCAATTTGATGATGATATTAATGAAACTATGTATCTTTATCTTGAATTTTTTTTAGAATTGATTATTTCTTATACATAATGCATCAAGTTTTTTTTTTATTTCAAAATAGAACTAAACTATTTAAAATGTATAAAATTATTTTAACATTCTACTTAGTAGTAGAAATTTGGGATGATTAGATGATGAACATAGTGAAAAAACATTGCAATTAAGTTAAATTTTTCTTAAGATATTACCTAAGTTTTTGTTAGTATAGTTAACTGATATTTTCGTTGGTGGAAGCTAGGCATAAGGAAATGAATAACCGATCGACGTTCATGCAAGACAGTTCTAGTAACTTACAAAAAATTATTTAAAAACTTAAGATTTTCTATTAAGGTTTAACTTTAGGCCACACCTTCTATTAAGCCGCTTCTAGATGTTATCAACGCCTATAAAGAAGTGAAAATCTCACTTTATACCTATTAAGCCTAAACTATTTACCTTTTAATATCAATGCCCAAACTATTTACCCTGCTTACCCAGTCGGCCCAATCTACCCATCTCTCCTTATCTTCGATCCAGCCCACCTATTTCACCCGGCACAAGCTTCTCACGCTTTTCTTCGTTCTTTAACAGTTAACAAGTAGACTAGAGTATAGTTTCCAAATCTCCATAGCCAACCGATGAGAACGCAAAATTCACCCACATTCGACTTTTTAATTTTTTTTTCCGATTCCGTTCTATCTCTTCGTCTAGTACCTATTTTTGGGTGATATTTTTGCTTCTGAAAGTACATT